GCCTTGCTAATTTTCTATTTTTAGTAGAGATGGAGTCATGCTCTTGCTCAGGCTGGTCTCAGACTCCTGACCTCAAAAGCAATCCTCCTGCCTCGGCCTTCTAGAATGCTAGGATTACAGGCGTGAGCCACCATGCCTGGCCCCTAAGCCAAGTTTTGAATATCGATGCTCTTGAATGGTTAAGTGGGGCCAGTAAGTTTTCAGAGGGATGGTTTGGATGGGTGGAGGTAGGGCCAAGTTGTGAGGGTACATTTAGTCTGCTAATGGGTTATGAATTTTCTTGTTTTAGGGAAAAAAGTCAGGTAGAATATAAAGGATGAGATAGGTATGTCTTTTTAAAGATTGTTCTTTATTCATCCTGAAGTTGAGTGAGTAGAAATTTTATTGGTTTTATTTATTTGGGTTTGGTTTATTTATTTTGATTTTTTGGTTATCAGATTAATGAAATGTAGTATTTTTTCTTTAGCTGTCAAATTCCAGTCTTAAATATGACTGTTGTCATGAAACTTTTCTAAATCCTTTTATCCTTTATCTTTAATTGTACCTCCTTTCCTTACTCTTTCAGAATTCTTATGTGATTCAACTTAAGGGAAAGAAGCATTGTTTTCTCCTTCTGTGTGGGCAGCTTCTCTCAGAACTGGAGTTGATGTTCAGTCATTCAGGTTTCACACTCAGCCTACAGGGCCTTGTGGTAAAAGGAAGGAGCAGGGTGAAACTAAAAATTATCTTGCTTGTTTTTATTCACTTCTGTATATATGAACTGCTGGGAGAGGAAGTGTTTGTTGTATATATTATACAAATTTATCAGAACATACTAGTAGCAGCTGATAATAGTAAATGTTACTTAAAAATGCTTTAAAATAGCCAATATGACTTAGACTTGATTGGTTGTTTTATTCAGGATTTGTGGCTTTAATTTACAGTGTTTATTTGAAGTTTCTTTTCTCTTTCATGTCCTTATTCAAAATAAGGAACTTCATTCCTCTTTGCTCAGATGCTGTCACTTAGTAGTCAATAGGTAGGTAGATGGGGTAAATCCCTAAGTTACTAACTTGGCTTTATTTAATTTTTTTTGTTTTGGCAGTCTTGCTCTGTCGCCCCAGGTAGAGTGTAGTGGCATCATCATAGCTCACTGCAACTTCAAACTCCTGGGTTTAAGCCATCCTGCTTCCTCAGCCTCCCGAGTAGCTGGGACTACAGGCGCGCACCTGTATTTTATCTATTATCTATTTTTTTTTTTTTAGAGACTGGGTCTTGCTCTTGCTCAGGCTGGTCTCAAACTCTCAAGCTCAAGCAATACTCCTGCCTTGGCCTCCCAAAGTGCTAGGATTACAGGCGTGAGCCATTGCGACCAGCCCGGCATTATTTAATTTTAAAACTTACCTGGATGATTATTTTCTAGTTTTGTGAAGATTAATCAAAAGTGGAAATCTATCAGCAGCCTTTTACTTTTTGTGTATATGGGAGGTATTTATACCTGGTTAAATTTAAAATCTATTTACTGAGCACTTAATATGCCAGGTGGGTATGGATGCATAGATAAGAAAAACCATTTCTGCCCAAGGAACTCAACGTAGTGAACCAGATGATTTCTAAGTTTACTTCTTGCTCTAAAATGCGGAGAAGAAAAAGTAGGTTGTAGGGAGAAAAAGTACTGCATAGCAAAACAACTGTAGTATGGAGCTAGTCTTTTCCTTTATAAAATCATTTTAA